TATAATAATAAAGCATGAAAATAACAATAGGCCTAACAATAATAATAACAATAACAATAACAACAACAACAACATGAAGAGCAATCATATTATTATAATGATAATAACAAAAAAACAAGTATAATAATACATGTATATATTTTATTCACCTGATAAATGAAGAATCCAACTTGGCCTCCTGTATATAGCTCCTCATATCATCCATCAACAAGTTCAGACTTTGGAGGAATTCACTGTCCAGATTCCCCAGCGAGTACCGGAAGTCGAACGCATCACGACTGGCAGTAAAGTTGTTCTCCGTTTCCTAGAGAGCAAATGTTCGTTTGGGTAAAGAGAAGCTTAATAATAATATATCGACACAATAAGTGTCATTTAGTGCAGGGAAGAGGAAAGTCAGAAAGACAGAAACAACAAAGGGAAAGAAAAAAAATAGGACCTACCAATGGCACCCTCCAGCCATCCAACTAGAGCGTAAAAACACTTACATTTTTTTAAAAGACGGAAAACCAGTTAGAGCTGTCTTAAGTTCAGAAAGTAGTCGATTGAACCAATAAATATCTTTACAGGCATTGAGAAAAAACCGCCCTGGCAGTTTGATCAAACACACAGCCCTTTGCTCCACACTTAACTGTAGATTCAACACAATATCCTCCTCTACTAAAACGTACTAAACATGTTTTTTACGTACTTGTTGGCAGTTATGAATATATTCCAAAGGAGAGTCAATACGTTTGGAATCAAGGAAGGGGCAAAGGTGTGTCTTTTACATGCATGGCTGGGTTATTTTTTTAAATGGCAGGAACATTTTGAAATTTTGAATTAGTTAAAGAAGAGACAGCAATAATACCTCAGCCACGACAGTATAATTCCGTAGGAAATCCACGACGTTTTTGGCTTCGCAATACTCTTCCAAGTTTTCATCATTGAGCACCGCCTTCCAAACCTGATTGGTCGACAACACCAGCCTCGTCCAACCATCGTACACCTCTTGACCACGTGACCGGAGAGCGAAGAAGAAGTTTTTCATGTCGTGGATGCCTTCGTATACGTCATCTGATGTCAGGTCTTTAGCCACCTGACGAGAACAAAATCAGTTAGGATTTTGAGCTTTTTAAAGGTTGGGTCAATAGAATCAAGTGTTCGTCAAATTTTTGATATATGGAGTGATTGGTACATTCTAAAAGCCTCTTTTACTTGCCTTGCTTTGATGAAAAGAAAATGCTCATCTATCTTAAATCTTAAAGTCGAGATATTTGCAACTGAAGAAGGTGGAGGTCGAATGATGTCAGCGTTTGGTGACTTCCACAGCTGTAGTGCCTGTAGGAACTACAGATTGCATATTTTATTATTATTATTTATTTTT